GGCTTCTCTTTGAAACAGGGTTCCTACTTTCTTGCCTTTTTTCACACATTTGACCCATCCCCTGTCAATCAGCCCCTCAGCCTGTTGTTGTAATTTTGATGTAATATTTATTATCATGTCAATTAACAGTATTTTTTATTTTTATATCATCCTAGGATCTGCCTCTTTTTCCTTTTCATATGCTCTTTTCTTCTTTCTTTTCCCTTGCTGTCCCAGTTTTTCCCCCCTTTGCCTTGCATGACGCCATTCCTTTTCTGCCGCTGCTCTGTTAATAAGGCATCATCACACACCTAAGGGACTTCTGCATCCTTGAGTATGGCTTTGGAGTGAGTACAAACAAAACCCAGTGGTGCAACAGATTTATTTCAGTGTCTTCTGTGGCTCCCATCATACTAATCTTTAATGTATTTATTCCTGTAACTTTCTGTGAATTGCTACTATCTGTATTTTACTAATGGGAAACTGTCACATGGAAAAAGTATGCACCAGATTTTACATGTTTGTAATTATATAAAGCTGAGATGTGAGGTCCACTGAAACCAGTTATTCTGAAAGTCACATATGGACAAATCACTAGAAATCTGGGTTTATGTGATTTAAAATTCACCCCAAGATCTAGTCCATTATTTTGGCCATGGCCAGCTGCTGGATATTACATAGTTCTTTTAGAGATAGATGAAACAGCTCCATATTGGCCAGTTTTATTCCCATACCCCCTACATACCTAGTGGATGCAATGCCTCTGGTTTTCAGTTTCTCATATGCTTTCTCTCCTCCTTGCAAAGTCTGTCCTTAGGCCATGTGGGGCAGGTGGGGTGGACAGCTACACATTGTTCTCATTGGCTTATCTCGGGTATCTGGTAATATTTTGGCAATATTAATTGAAAGCAAGATCTATTTTTTTACCTTTCCCAATTTTTACCATAATGGGTCTGCATATTCAGCTGCTGCAAATAACCTTGGACAGTCAAAATGTATATCCTTCTTCAAAATATCATCCTGGGAATCAACTTCACACTTGGTCTTTTCCAGGTGTATCCCAAGAGAAACAGGGTGATGTAACATTCTGTGAACTGGATCTTAACAGTGCATACTGTACTCCATTCCCAATTATAAGCCAGTATTTATTGGATTTATAATTCAGAGATGAGATTCACTTACATTTTCTTGACTGGCATACATTTGGTTTTGACACAATAATCGAGAGCAAATACACTCCAAACCACTGCTCTAATTATTGAACAATCTCACCTCTCTCAATCAAGGGAAATAAGTTATTTGAGTAGTGGAAAGAGAAATATGTCTGTTGAAAATGTGTTTTCATGAGTGGATCCTGAATCTGACAATGCAGATGTTGGCAAGAATGAAAGGAATCCCAGTTCAGTTTTGGAAAAGTACATTTTCACAGAGAACATGTCTCTTCTGGGAACCTTTAATTTAATGTACATTGGTTTCCTATTTTAAGAAAACATTTTGCTGTTAAACCCTATGCCAGCCAGACTTACATTTTTTAAGCAAAAACTCTTTGTCCTGAAGTATTTTAATGGCCTAAAGAGCAGGAAATTGCCTGTGACATTTCAGTTTTTCCATTCTAAGGGAAAAATGGTCCAAGTTCTAAAAATAGCTCTCTCCTGAAAAACGTCCTCCCTCTCATCATTGTAATATACCATAAGCCATGTGACAACAAAGACATTTCTTTCTGAGCCTAGCGTCGGTTTTAATCAGCTAGATCAGCAATTAAGACTCTTTTCATGTAAAACTGCTGACTTGAATAAGAATTTTGTTTACTGACTTAACTCAATTAATTTGATGACCTGCTCTGCAGTGTAATGTCGTCTCCAGTTCCTCCTTTTTCCTTTACCTGGACACAGATGATGTTGTTCAGAATTGCATATTCACCTAGGGAAAAAAATCTCAGTAGACTTCGTCCTCTTAGCCTGTTTTACTATTAGGCACTTTCCAGCTTTGTTTGCTATTTGAGTATCCCTTTTTCAGAGGAATATTAAGAGGAATATGTTTATACACATTTTGGTCTGTGGTCATGAATGAGCAAGTGAGAAGATGGTACGTAATAAATAAGGTTAACAAAAAGCATCATGTGGAAGACTAATGCCAAAGAGTATGTTCTGGAGGTCAAAGATGGGTGCCTTATCATTATGTCTAGATACCCAGCAGAACTCAAAGGGAGTCTTGGTATTCAGGTCATTCCCCCGGCATTGAATTCAGACATGTGAGTGAATCACAAGACACTTGTTTATTGTCAACTCAGAAAAAATAAAGTGAGACTGGTTTATGTGTAGACTGAGGCTGGCGTGGAGACATTCCTAGACAGGGTGGAGCCCGCAAGGCGAGCGGTGCTGTCACTGGGTAGGCAGCAGGTCTCAGTATGCTCTGAAGCTGGAGACAGACCTTCGCGATATGATCTCTTCAGTGGGGAAATTTGCTGAAGAGGTTCTTGCCCCTTGTCTCTACCTCAAGGCCCCTACCACTCACTCCTGTCTGCATTACAGCTTGCTTCCTGTCCTCAGATGTGCTACTACAAATGACTGTGGAGCCAGGCTACAACACACGTCCCTGAATCAGTCTAGGTTAAAAATAGCCTCTCAAAAGTTTTGTATTCTTGCATTTTCAACAAAATCACTTCAGCTGCCAGATTTTGCAGACAACCCTAAAAATACCTGTACAGCACAACTGACACGGTAACAAACTGGCTGGCTGAAAGGTAACTTCGCTTCTCAAATTCTTAAACAAATGTGTTATGAAAATACGCACAAAGAAGCCATGCTTCCCCGCTAGTCAAGTAAAAGCACAGGAGCTTTACTGGCCTCCGATACCAAGATCTTGATGAATGCAAACATTCACCAAGATTTAATGAATCCCATAGCCTTGGGGGATCTAGGTTGGACAGGCTCAATTCCATTGAAATCAATGGAAGCTCTGCCTCTCCCTTGTTTTGAGCTAAGATTTTTTTTCCTCTTATCTTTTCTTCAGGGAAGGCCTGGGAGTTTTAATATAGCCTGGTATTTGACCATAGACCATGTTTTATCAAGTACCAACATATAATGTTGATATAGTGGAGTATGTGACTACCAATAGGCTGCTGTATTGGAGACCTAGGAGTACAGTGAGAAAGGATGCCAAAAGAACCATCTAGATCACCCACCTGTCCTGAGGCAGGCTCACTCATACCTACAGTCTTCATGGCACTATGCCTAAATTCATTTTGACAAAATGTTCTTTTAAAAACCCACTCATCTCCTTAGGTAAGCTATTCCATTGTTTAGCTGGGGAATTTCCTCCCCATCTAGCCTATGTTTGACACACCACCAGTGTTTCATAGCCACACATCAGCACGGATGAACATAATCCCTGGTGGAAACTGCTGTGGCACCAGTGCAGAAACTTAGCATGTGTCTGATGTCATTTGTTCCCTTTTCTTTTAGCCAGGAAGAATAAATGCAAATCGAACCTAATAATTTAGTGAAGATAGCTAACAAACCCAGTTGGGGGTATTGGCATTTCTGTGCGTATACGAACACAAAAATCTGTAGATATTTTCTGTTAAAGTTCAAATTCCTTGCCAGGGAATATTGGTGGTTTATTAGTGTGGGGAAATGCTGACATAAACACATGGATGCATCTTTTCCCCCCCCCCTTACAACTACAGTAAGATAACATCTAATATTATTGTGGGTCCTGTGGGAAGAGATAACAGTTCTATTGACTTGCACATTTAAAACTGAAACCTACCAACATTGTAAAGGATGTATAGTAGAACTCAAACTAGAAACGGTATATAATAAACAAGCTATTAAATGTCTTGCCTTCATTGAAACACCACTTGAAAGTGCTTTAGAGCATTGTAAACAGTGAAAGGATGAATCCTTACAGCAGATGAAAAAATTACCAGTGATGAGATAAGCTGCTGTTTTGGAAGAGACTGGAAGACGGGAGAGGAAATGAAGGTGCTGTAGAGATTCTGTATAAACAAGGCAGTACAGCAAAGTCAAGACAGTGTGAAAGATGTGAAGGAAATTTAGACTTCTAGGACAAGATGAGGTAGTAGCAGCCACAAGCAGTCAGACCTTGTTTGCTGGCGTTTTACCTTTTCTTGCAATGTACAAGAATTCTTTCATTTTTGTTACATTTTCTTTTCTTCTTCCTTTGAACCCATTAGTATTTTAGAAAACGGAGGACAATGAAAAGAGTAAAACTAAAATTATTCAGATTCCTGCAGCATTTCTTTCAAAGTGTCATAACTTCTTGAGGAATCTGTTTTCAAGAGATCACCGGTTTTTCAGCAGTGTTTAGTCATTCCTCCCAACCTCTTTTTTTTTCCTTTTAAACTGCCCTGATTGCAGCATTTGTGACATTTCTCCTTTTTGTTATTTTTTAATGGCACTAGCATATGAAATTCCACTTAAGTGACAGATTAATTTCACCTAGCTTTGTCTAGCTTAGGTGAAGTTTGCTTGTGTACACCGGAGTTAGCAACTGTAGTTGTTTACAGCCATTACAGTAGGTTAAGAAAAACAGGTTTTTAGGGAGCATGTCAACTCCCAGCCATTCTGGCATGTATTTTGGAAAAGAGACTGTCTTTGTCTTTAAATTGGTGATAAACCGAGCCTGAAGTGACCAGTTTAGGTATAGATGTCTCCATCAGATGAATCATACCCTGAAAGTTGTACTGAATATTCCTGGTTACTGAGAGCACAGATTTTGCTGGCAGTTTTGTAATAACTGGTAGAGGTTGTTTCCATCTTTTGCAATACCTTTGGATTTGGTGAAGTGTCTGATGAAGAAGCAAACAGTTGCAGACTTTTTGGCTCTGGCTAAGCGAGGAACTAAGCACACCTTGCCCACAGGCAAACATGTTGCAACATAAAATGTAAATAGCTTGAAAGAAAAATAGAAGCATTAAAGACTTGTCTCTTTATGCGCCCTCGAGGAAGAAGAGAAACTGGCAACACCTTCATAAGACAATTCAGGGAAGACTCTGACACAACCATGATGACACTCATATTATTGGTGTTAAAAGTCTTGATGTGTCACAAAAGATGCTTAGCTACAAAGGTAATTAAATAATGGACAAAATAGCCTAGTACCAACAAGGAAACAAGTTCACATTTAACGTCTTATTTCACATCTTTCCAACAGGACAGTTAGTTCAGAGTCAGCTCTTTGAGCACGGTAAATACCTTACACAAAATACAAATTAATCAGTGACGTTTGTATATACAAAAGAGGACAACTGGTAAAACTTAACTGCAGGTGTTGTTCATCAGCACTCATCTCAAAGATGAGCCTCCGGTCATATGTGACAACTAAGATAGTAGTTCAGCTGGTTCATATACAAAATAGTGTGGCTCCTATAGACTAAAGTAAAGTTCTGCAGTGCCTTGATTATAAAGCTGCTTGTGCTGCTGTCCTTATCTCTTGACTATGCTCTTGTTCTGAAACAGCTTGGGGGGATTTATCCTGTCAGCATTTTGTGATAGCGTTTGTGGTCACCGGAAATCTGTACAAGAGAGAAAAAATCCCACTTAGCAGCAGGAGGACGACAGCTACAATCCCAACCGGAATGGCAGCACCGACTTCCTGTGCTGCTGGGCTTGAGGGCATGTAGTAAGATGGAGGAAAAGCAATGCTCTGGTTATGTGCTACAGAGTAGAAATTCCAGCTCACAGGAATCAGGACACACAGACCAGAAAATATGTAGAAGCAGCCACCCACCAGGAAGAAACGGGTAATGAGAATTTTGTGAGTGATTCCCATATAAACATTCCTCAGAGCAAAGACTGTGGCAGTCAGTCCCAGCAAGCCTGTGAACATGGCGATCAACAGGAGACCCTGAGCAGTATAGATTTCAGCTGGGATGGAGGATTCATAACCACTGAATTTATGGCAGAACTGTTCTTTATAGCCAGGTGAGACCTGAAGGTAACTGATGAAGCAGACTTTCCAAATCCCCACCCATGCAACACCAGAGGAGATGATGGTGGTGTTGTCCACATGCCACACTCTCCATTCCACAGTTCCCATTGAAACTGTGCACAGGATCCAGCCTACAGTACCAAGAGCAAAGGCAGCCAGCTGGAGGTGTGAGCTGCTGACCAGGGAGTTCATCTTTTGGAGGTCTTCTGCTCTGTTGCAGGCACAATTGCCATGTGAAGTGAGAGAGGCACTGGAAAGAAACAGTGTAAGATTACAAAGGCACTTATTATTTGGGTGAATAGGTGAACCTGATAGTGAAAAAGTAAAAGCTGGAGTGAATACGTGTACAGAGGGAGGACAGTACTCATCTTTCCCCAACTGTAATGAACTGTTGAAGTTTAGTGTCATAGACAAGTAACATCTACGTTTTATTCTGAATATATCATTGTATCACAAGGAGAAGAATGAGTCTCTGGTTAGCTCCCATTACAATCTCCTTTCTACATTCACAACAGGAAAATTCACATCTTTCTCCAAGCTATTTTCTTCCTTGGTAATTAACCGCTATGTTCAAAGAGCCTCATTAATAAGCTTACTGGCTGGTAGAAACTAAATCTGACAAAATCCTCAGGATCCTGGCTGTTGCAAGAGATCTCACAAAGCAGCTGCAGAAGCCATGCTTCATGCTTCTCTCTCCTTGCAGTCGTGTTTGCGGTGCAGTTTGTGTTTTCAGCCCGACCTGAACAGACTTTTGCTTTGTGCTGCCATGTCTGAGAGCTGCTGGGACCAGGCTCGCACACAAAACACTGTAGTTCAGAGACATGAGCAAATCCAGGCCACAGAATCTAATACTTTGATCATTTTTAGATTATTTAACCATGACTTTGTTAGCAGGAACACTTGAATGAATCAGAAATATAATGCTCTATGCAGGGGCTGGATAGGCTGGAGCCTGGATATGCTGCCATTGCTTTCTCACCCTCAAACTTTAACCACAATTCTTTAGTGTTTCTCTTTTGCAAATCACATTCATAACCTGCCCATTTTCTCCAGTTCAAATCATCCTAGCACTGCCATGGAAAAGATTTTAGTCATTTAGCTTAGTAAAAGATTTTGGACGGTTTGTTTGGGTTTTTTTTTTTTACATTCCAAGTGCAAATTAAGTGTTTATTCTACTTTTAAAAAATAATCTGTTGATCTCCCATGTCTTTCATACAACCTTCTGAACAATTACAGGAATGATCTGTGATCAGAGGAGATGTGGCCTTGAACTAATTATGTAGATCTGAAAGATTCTAGGGATCTTTATATTTTATGAGTCATCAGAAATACTTGAACTCCTGGTCCCACTGAATTGAAGACTGGAGAAATAATGCTCGTTCTAGTAAGAAGGTAGATCTGCAACTATGTGTTGATATTAAAGCAGCAAATTTTTTACTTACTTAAGCTAACAGATTCAGTTGGTGAGACAATCTAATGCAAATATCCATCTATGGAAATCTTAAATAAAATAATAACTTCATAACAATATAGCCTTAAGCAAACACTGTCCATCATCTCATACCAGTGCCCACTGTATACTTACTTCAGTCCTGGAGCTGATGCCAATGATAAGAAGATAGGATGGTGTGTTTTTTAATGCCAGCCAAGCAGGGCAACATCTGCAATTTTATCATTTTGGCCTCCCACTTCATCTATGTATCTCCGATAGGACTGATTTCCTGTGGGACATATTAATCTCCATTATTGCAAATGTACATTTGATCCCTTCCTGCATGAAGAAAATTGCTCCAGAATAGCCTTCTGTGTTTCATCTACTTAAACCGAAACCTATTTATAAATGCTTTCTCGATCTGCTACATTATTTACAAAGTGATTATAACTCCCCCTATCTAATTAACTTAACCAGCCACACAGCACATTAGTAGCTGCATAAGGCACTAAAATGGTTTTCTTTCTGTTCCACCTCAAAACAGCATTGTATTTGTACATGTCTAGTGATGGGAAGATGACAGAAAGGAAAGAGAGTGACCAAAGGAGGCCTGTACTGTCTCCTTTTGCTTCTGTTTGAATTAGTTGTGCACAAAGAGGCCAATCCTCAACCATGTTAAAGTACCATTTTGTGCAGAGCCCATATTTCTGTAACACTTTTTGTATACATCATAAGTAGTCATTTTAACAGTTTGCTGCTATCAAGGTCATACAAGATAGGCAAGCAGGCAGATCTGTGTCACTGAGAGCTGCTCAGAGAATGGTATCAGTATACATCTTCAAACATTGGGTTTACTCACCTGTCTGCTCACAGAATTAAATGACGTCGTATCCATGATTACGGAGCCATCTGTCAAAGCATCATGTGCTAAGCTACTTAGCAGGGTGTCCAGAACTGAATTATAAAAGTAAAAAATAGGAAAATTCTTTTTCCCTGTGAGATTCACAAAATCCACAGAAGCAGCAAACACACAGAATGGAAGAATTCAAGACTTACACAAAAATTTTGAAAACACTGGAGAATAACCAGCAAAAAAAGATGGGCTTTAGATGAGGTACCAAATACCTAGACCCAAAGCATTGCGTATGTAGGAAATTACTGATTTTGGCTCATTTCTCCATACCCTGCCCCTGGAACTTACTTGATCTAACCTGGTATCACTGACTTAGAGCAAAATCAAGGTGAAAAAGAAATACTTTTGAGAATGATGATGAAGTTGAATTACAATACCCATACCTGCCTCGTTTGGAAACTCAGAAGCCTGTACTTGGGACCTCTTGGTGTTAAGATTCAGCAAGAACATAAGGAACAAAATAAATATCAAGGTAAAATAGTTGCAGGAATTTGCTTATCATATGAAAATATGTCATAATTAAAACAAAGATGGAGTACTCATTCCAGTCTCTATCATTATGAATATTAATAAACACACTATGGGTTTTATATCAAATGAGACCAGATATGTGTTGCTTGCCAAAAGCAAACGATAAGAGCATATTTGGATAAGAACATATTTAGTTTCAAGCTTCTGACATAAACCCTAAGCCTGAGCACTGCTGGAGGCTGCAGCATCCATGACACCTTGGGCATCCCACTGCAGTGGTCCAGCTGGAGCACCAGCCCACATGGTCATGCATTGTGACCGGGTGCCAGCTGGCAAAGAGCACCAGGGAAGCTCGTCCCCCCTAAATGCAAAGAGATACGTTCGTTTTTCAGGGCCACTGTGCAAACATTCCCAAAGGAAAAAAAAAAAAAAAAAAAAAAGAAAAGAAAAAATGGAAAAAAGGCGTTCCGCCGGCAGATGCGAAGTAAAACCAGGAATGAGCTGCAGAGGGCGTCTACCCCCAGGATTTCAGCCTTCCCGGCGGCTCGCTCGCTGTGAGAGGGAAGGGAAGGGAAGGGAAAGAAGAAGGAAGAGAAAGAGAAAGAAAGGGGAAATGCTGCCCAAGCCTCCATCCATGGGACTTGATGCAGGTGCTGAACTCTGCTCCAACACCAGCAGGCCCCTTCCTGTAGGTTTCGAAGACAGAGGCTTCCCCTTTGGAAAGGAAGAACTGGATCCATCACTAGCTTGTCATTCACATAAAAAAAAAACAAAGAAAAAATTTCGTTAATAAAGCCTTTTGGTCCCTGGATAAATGCCCTTTCCAGCCTTCTGAGAGAAAAATGTGGCAGTTCAGTCCCTGCATGTTTCAAGCTATACTGGATAAAATACAGCCCAAAACCCGGATCATACGGCGGTCTGTGCACTGGCATAATCTATTGGCTGTTTTCATGCTTTAGTAATCATGTAAGTCTTTTTAACTAATTTAATTAGTATAGTAAGATTATCTATGTGCTTTGAATAATACAGTGATGTAACATGATCACTCTATGAAATTTCCTAAGGCAAATGAACTCAGCATGAATTCAGTCAGCTACAGAAGGTCTTCTGGATAATTAGTTGGTATTGCTGGCATGTGTGTCTTGACTTGGAAGCTCACTCAGATTTCAGCATCCAATGTTTGCATGCCAGCTATGTCACGGGATAGAGGGAGCCTACAAAGGCAATCTTGCCAGGAGGAACAAGCTAGGCCAGTGTGATTGGTCTGTATGCCAGTGGACCAAAAAAGCATGACTGGAAACACTTTTCACCCAAAGAAGCAAGAGGAGTGTGTTAAGTAGTGGCTACAGTTCCATCTCAGTGTCCCGTGATTTAATAATTTACATTTAATTTCGGTCTAATCCACAAGCATTCCAGCAGCTTCAGGGGCCAGCCTTTTGGAAAGTCCAGATACCTAAAAAAGGAAGAGCTACTTCTACAGGGTTCTCACCTGATAGTCCCTTGCTATCTTTTTCTCTCTTAACACATCATCCGTTTCCTCCATGAATGTATTTTTTAAGTCAATATCCTACCTGAGTAAAAGCAAACTGTAAACTTGCTATCATGCAATAGAAAGTTGAGAGAGAAGACAGAAACTAATAGTAAAAGATGACACATGCTAGTGAATTCGTCCACTTACAGAAACTTCAAGGATCCTTTTGTATTTACGTCTTATTTTTATTTAAATCAAGCACTGCACAGTGAGCAGTCTGTTTATGGAAAACATATTGAGCCATTGCCTGTATTTTTCAGGGGCAGAATGAAACAGGACTTTCCCCCTCTTAGCTACAAGGAACAGATGAGGATGCCCAGGAGCTGTGCTGACTTTCCTACAGCTGCAAGCTTGCTTCTAGGAGAAAAAACAGAGCAAGCTGCTCTCTCAAACACCAGGTGTTTCACAGAGGGTTTCTGGGGTCATCTGTGCATGAGGCTTACCTTTAAAAAGACTAAAGTGAAATGCTGTGGTCTGAGAGATAACAGTCTGTTCTTTGTGGCCTCATGTTCTCAGCAGCAAACAGAAATGGAGCTGTGCTTGAAATTTTGTCAGCACTTCTTTTCCTACAAGTAATTGCTGGTGACAAAAGGCTGGGGCTGTGATATCAGTTCTCAGAGCAGAGAAACCTAAATGGCACCAAACACATTTCACTTCTGGAATTAATACTGGGTCCACTGAAAAGCTCTTTTAATTCCATTCATCAGCCTGTACACACCAGCTGGGTTTCAGATCTGCTTTCTAAGACTCAACCTGCGTTAGAAAGAAAGATTTGTAAAAGCTACAGGTAAACACAGGGAAAACAGCTAGCATGCTTTCTTAATGAGTGCACCTAAATATAATTGGGCTTTTCGGGTTACTGGGTCTCAGAACCCCTGATGGGGTGAGGGCCTGTGCCAGGGGCTGATGTCCATCTTGTGGGGAGCAAAAGAGAGTGCCCCCAACCACGCAATCACTGGCAAGACTTCTCCTTAAATGCATCACTTCAGATGATGGACTGAGCTTCAGAAAGGAGAGGGAAGCCCCAAACCTCACCTACCTTGGTGTCTGGTACAGAGAAAAGAGCACTAAGGGGTCAGGAGTGTGACTAGGGCAACCACATCCAGGTCCCAGGGAGCTCACATGAGTGGGAAGATGAAAGCACTGAATACATGCCCTCATGAGATGTCCCCCTGCAGGAGTCACCTCATAGCCAAAAGCCTGGTGCCTGTGGGAGAAATGAAGAACACCCAAAGCACCCAGAGCATCAGCCCAAATGTGCTGCACAGACACTCAGGGAAGAAGAACAAGCGTTGACTGCACACTGCAACCTGATGATGAGATTTTCTTCATAGACACTGGGTGGGTGGTTGAAGGGACGGATAGCTTTCCAAAAGGATGGGAGACAATACTTGTTTCTTTGTAAGTGACAGCACAGCTACACCAAAATATGCTACAAAATGTAACAGCAGAAGAGCGAAGTTGAGTCTCTCTGCCTCCAGCCTGCCTGCCTTCTGACCGACGCTTTTGCTTTAGGAATTGCACTGCAACTTGTAAATACCTTGAAGAGAAAGTTCCTGATAAATTCTTCCTATGTAAAACACACACAAATTTGTTTTCCCAGCCTGTGTAAGCAGGAATTTATTTCTTTTTTTTTCATGTTTTAAGCAAATATTTTTGCATTGGATGTTGCCAGGCACTGCATGCATTTTGATATTAACATTCAAATCCTGCTTTTGCAAACTTGTACAGCCTACATGCAGCTTTATTGGTCTATACTGGACATGGTTTAGTAACCAAACCCTTTGTTCAATCTAAGTTTCGCAGCAGAAAGGGAGTCTAAAAAACCCCCAACAGCACAGTAATTAAGAAGGTCTCTTCTTAGCAATATCCTTATGATTTAATGCCTCAAAACTTAATTCTTCAGTTCCCAGTTGGGCAGACATTCTTTATAGGAAACAAATAAATATTTCAGTCTCTCCCCATCTGTTCTCTATCAGCACTTCATAAAATAAGACGCATTGAAAAAAAAAGGAGACTTACTTCTGTGGGTCTGCGAGTTGCCTGAGGCTTTGAAGCAGTGTCAGCTGCATGAAGCGAGTTCCAGAAGGGAGGTGGAAAGAAACGCGCCTGCAAATTGTCTGTCTTGTTACGCTACCAAATAGGTACCTCACAGTTCCTTGTCACTCTCCCACTAAGTCAACAAAGAAGTAGGAAGTCAGTTAATCATTAACGTATTATAAAAATATGAAAGCTTTCCCATATGCCATTTTTTCTAATTGCTCTAAAACACTCACCAAAGTACAGGGATAACTCCCATGGAAAATCCAGTTTCCTGTAAGACACCCGTTCAGGAAATCAGCCTTTGTGATGACAAGATTTTCCAGCCTGAGACCCCCGCAGTGTCCTGAAGGACACAGATTTCTCATCTGAAAGAAAATAAAATCATTTCATAACCCGTTCCTCTTTGTTGAGACTTTTCCTCCTGTATTTATGCAACGCAGATTAGTGCAGCTCTGCGGTGGGAAGAAATATAGGGGAGAAGGAGGAGGTTTTCTGGGGAGCGAGCACAAGTTGAACTGGTGTCTTCTTGGACTGTGGCTGGCAGTACCCGCGCATGAGTACAAACAGTACCATGCTTTCTACCTCAGATACTTTTTAAAAAGAACAAAAACAACACATTTTTTTAGATTATGTTATGTTTGCCTTGCTCGGTGGTTTCCCCGTGAATGTAAACAATGATTCTTACAAACCCTTTAAGAGTTCTTAACTCTGCTCTGGTTTCTCCTCTTCGAAACCTAGATTACTAATGTTAAACTCCAGTGATGCACTGGCTTCTGCAGTGAGAAGATACCCAGAGTTGATGTTGAAAGTTGAGGAAGTTGATTTAATGGAAGTACCCTGAAATGGGATGCCCTCATCGAAAAAATTCTTCATACCTCTCACACACACCATGGCCGGTCATTGCCACCACCAAAGAGGGCTTTAAAATGGCATTAGTCCATATCCTTCTGTTTTCTGCCTCACCTTTAAGCCAAGCTCCCTGCCTCTCTTGCTGCATCTTCCAGCTGACACCGATTCACTGCTTTCATGTGCAGACAACACAGCCCACCTGTGGCCACGCAGTCTTACCTTCTTCTGCAGCTCACCACCAGGCTGGGATCTCCTCTCTGACTGGTCACAGCTAGATGGTGTTTGTTGCACAGCCAAACTCAGCTACTCAGGCTTTGCTGTTGTGTGCCAAAAGCCCTGACATGTATAGATCCCGATGGGCTTGCTGTCATGTGTTAGACTTGAGCATAGCCTGTTGACATGGTGATGGGTCTACTTGGGCAGTAAGCATCTGGCAGATAGGTTCCTTTCCTTGGATTTAATAACTGGGTGAGACAAAATTTGCAGGCAAACCTATTGCTGATTTTACACGTGAAGCTGCTGCGTGCAGCCTATCTGGCCAACTGTGAGATAGGAGTGGCACCCCCTTCACTACTCCTAGAGCAACACTTCTTTGCCCCCCAAATTCTGTATCTTTGACATATTTCTTCTCAGTCACAAAAAAAAACCAGACACCATTATGATGTTTTAAAGATTAAATTGTATAGAAAAAAGAATGATTTTGTTGTATTTGTCAACCACCATCAGTGCAGTGAAGTTCAATTCAACTGCAAATCTACAGTGCCTAGGCTGTGATAGCATAACCAGCAGCATAAGCACCATTATGTTAGTGAGAAATACAATGCACAGAAAATGGAATGAAAGCAAGATAAGAAGCAAACTAAGGTAGTGTTTTTCTTCTCAGTATATGATTATGACTTCTATAAATGTGTTCCTTTTGGGTGTATTAGTGACAAGTCATTAGGAAGCAGATGGAAATTAAGTTTCTGACTGCCTTATTTAAAGGAACCCATTTTACACATCAGACTTTATTGCTCATTGAATGCCAATGGTTAATACTTTTGGGGGGGCAGAAAACATTCGTTTTCTTCCTACTGTGGCCTTGACCCAAAGCACATTGAAATCAGTGGAAACAGTTCTGCTGACTTCAAAGACCTTTAAATCAGGCCTGGTCCCTTCTGTGGTTTACAATTTCACTGTTAAATACCACAGAATAGGAAATGTTTGTTTCAAGTTATTTTTCCTTCCATTTGCCCCATTAAAAAACAACCTGAAATCAAGATGCTGTGCAAGATACATTGCCCAACAAATGCTGTCAAATAGGCAGCAGACAAAGCCCGTAAACAGCTAGGAGGCTCGGGTACAAGTACTTGCTCACTTCTTGTTGTGAGACAAAGGTTACTTCTCCCCAGAAACACAGCAGCTTCCCTGCATGCAGCTTGCTCGCCTGTGGTCGGTGAACTGGGGATGACAGTTGTTGTGTCCTCACTCTTCATCACCACTTCTCCTCAGAGGATCAGCAGCTTCCACATCCAGCCCTGAACCAAAGTATGGACATCTAAAAACCACATCTTGAGTCTGAGGAAAATATTACATAAACACCTTTGCTAATGGTGTGTATTTATGGTGTCCTTTGAAACCTGGGAAATTCAGAAATCAGACAAATGACCAAATTCAACACAACTCACATCACAAAGTGCTTCACAGACCAGCATTTTGCCTGTGTTTATTTTGACTATGCCTCTTCAGACATGGATCACACATACGCTGTCAACAGTACGTCAAATGACATTGAAAAGCCAGACAGTTAAAAGATGAGGATGTGTTTTCAGAGTGCACAATAACTGCATCTCAGTCGTTGCCCCACTGTTGAGGCTAATCCCGTAACAGCTCACTGGACATCCGCATGGATAAACTCTACAGCTGTTGAAATAACAAAACCCCAAAAGCAGGATGGGCTTTTGAAGGGGTTAAAACCCCTTCACTGTGCATGCCCTGGGAACAAGGAAGTCAGCTTCCAGGCCGGGGGTTTGAGGGTCCTGTTGTTCTGCAGATGGAGGGGCCAGCAGTGGTGGGATGAACAGCCACAGCAGGCTCCTAACAACCGTGGGGCAGGGGTGCTCTTGTCACAGCACAACAAAGGGCTTAGCTCAACTTTTGCTGTTAGAGTGGTTATCACTCTCTTCCTCCTGCTGAGTCTGGCTATGGCTGGGACCGTGCAGCCTAGGGCTTGTCTCTGAAGAGAGGCAAGCACTGCCAAGCTCAGCAGGCTCCACAGGGAAACACCACACATTATCACATACTCAATCCCAAACTACCTTCGCCCCATTCATAGCTGTCAGCGGATGCTGCTTGCTTTTGTGGTCAGTCCCATCAGCTGGGAGGTTCCCTGGCTCCAGAGAACGTGATAATCATTTTGTTGTGATACTGCCATTAATGCCAAGTCAGCTCTGTTTGTATTTTTTCTGTGCAGTGTGGGTGAAATTTAAACACATTTTAGTCTGACACTGCAGCAGACTTAAATTATGAGACATTACATGTTGTTCCTCCTAGCAAGAGAGACAGTGTTCAGTGTCCAATTTAGGTACTGGAAGCTAGAAAGCCTGTGCTTCACCCATGTCTGGATTTGCTTCTTTCCAAACGCTTCCTTCCAAACTCAGCACTAGTATCCCTATTGAGGGTCAAATATTTGTTTAGTGCTTCTTCTATCCAGACTATGCCAGAGATCTTTTGCCCACCGATCAGTGCCACCAGCAGTGTCCTCAGACTCCCTGCTGACACACTAACAACTCTTCTTTCATCCTTAGCTTTTCCTGGATTGCCCTTATAACTTAGCTGAAAAACTCACAGAAACTTCCTATGAAGTTGACCCTTTTACTATTGGTCAATTAAACCCAAGGGGGAAATGGGAACACACAACACACAGCTGCCCAGATTCTCTCCAGCATGGGTTGTTTAGATGTTTTCTCCAGAGGTCAGGAACCATAGATCCTTTGGAACGGGGTCAGTATTAGGTTTTGATGCAAACTTGAGATGGCAATTACAGACTCGACAGTTTCAAGCGGGATGATTTCACTGTGATTGTGACCCAGCAAGGGGCTGATTTAAAAACCAAAAGAATTTGTCTTTGGCTCAGCAAGAAACTGATGTTCTCTTCCTGTAGACGCAGAACACAAAAGCTCGCGTGCACAAAATGAAGGGCTGCTAAAATTAGATGCACTCTTGTGGCTTGGATCGGCTTCTAGTTATTCCCAGATACCCAAAGTAGGTCATTCACGGCTTAACAAAGACATTTCCCTCAGACCCGCTGACAAGTTAGAGCTGGTGGAAAAGACCACCTGATGGGAGGATGTTACCAACATGTTACACTCGGGTTTCACTCCGCCTCGGCAGCCTTTCTGCACTGCGAGAGCAGTGTTACAACACGGGGCTTTTTCCACTTCATTGGCGCTGCCTGAGCAGCTTGTTCTTATCAGCCATTCGAAGTCACAAGAAAATCAAATTCCTGTAATTTTTTATTGAAGGAAACGAAGCCAAGAGATCAATAGAGACCTTTAGCTGGTATCATGTCATGGGGGTTTTAAAGCTTTACAAAGCAACTCCCTGCACAAATCACAGGGCACTATTAAAGTCCTACTTTAGGAGAAACATGTGACTCACTGGTTGCTCATTAGCTGATCATGGCTATGACCTTGGCTGGAAGAAGAACTTCAGAATCATTACTGACAATTCTACAAGGGTTGCTGTGCCTTTAGCCCCCTCCCTGGTTATCATCATAGCTGAACAATGACTGTGATCTTCCAACGGACCAATACCCTACTAAGATTGTTGCGGTAGGAAGCCTATACAAATGTTCTGGTGAGGCAAAATATAAAATTCCTGCAGAAAGCAAAACAGATTGCTTAGGAACTACCTTATCACCGCAAACAGGGAGCCAGTGGGGAGCAGTCCTGTAAGGAGCTCCAGACAGGCATATTCCTTAAATATGTGGAGGGCAGCTGCATTTCAGAAGTGTTTTATTGCAGTAACTCTACCTCAAAGGTAAGACAGCTCTACTTGTGCTAGCCTGTCATTTGCCTGGATGCTGGGGAAAGAGGTGTCAGCCTGCCCCTGCTTTGCTTTCCCTCTGCCCGTTCCATAGCCAGCTCACAAATTACAAGCACAGGAGACGAATGGCCATCGATCCTCCGAGGCTTTGTGCTCCAGCACACATGGGGACTGTTCCAGAAAGTGAGGGCAACCACCTGGAAGGAGCCAATGAAGAGAGGTCAGCTTTATGTTGGCCCAGGGAAATGCCTTAACGGACAGCGAGATTGGTCAGTGCAGGAGCACTGGTAAGAGACTCACCCCTGTGCAATGCATGATCTCAGAAAACATGAATTAAAAGCAATCTTAGGAACTAATCAGACCAGTAAAAGGAGAAGAATTTGTGGCAGCTCCTGTAGGTGCACGTGCATGTGGGGTTCTGTAACAGAAGATTGTCTGAGATGTGCTGCCTGGAGCACTCAAGCCCAGTTGGCAAGTTGAGGGCTTACAGACTCCCACCTATTGTCCTGACCCGTCAGCCTCCCAAAGCCACGTGTTATAATTACTTCTGCTCTTTTAAGACCCCAGTTATAAAAGCACTGGCAATCTAAATATTTACCGAGGTAGTCACACCTTGGTATGCGATCATGTAACATAAGAACTGCAAACACGAAAGGTGCATTTATGGTGACCATAAAATTTTCATTCTGAGTTTCCTGATTTGCAGACGAAGCACCCGACCTTCACACCGCACACTGCTGCTCATGACAACAGCGCTGTACTGCTGCCACCCCAAAACACTGGCAATTAATCCCTATTTTCACGTCTGCCTTGTGCTCAACTGGTTCTCGGTAGGTCTTTCTCTGCTAAATGAGTCTCATTTTGCCTGTCTGGGGAACCACCCACATGACAACCTTTGAAACCCAGTTTTCATCCGTGAGAGCTCTCTGGTTTGGTCATTGGGAGACATTCTCTCTCCTCTCCAATAATTTACATGAGTCTTTTATCATGTTTTCCAGTTTTGCAACTCCTTTGCATTGGATATGAATAGTAGAATTAGATGTGATATTTTAGAAAGCTTAGAAAGTTTTCAGTAATATTGCATAGCAAGATACTACTTTCCCCGTGTTCCCCTTCTCTTCCAATACACTGTTTCAGACATCTTCTAAAGTGCAGAGCTCATATCAGCTGCTCATTCACGATGACCCCCCAGTTTTTGAGAGTCATTTGTTTCCTGGTCTATATCCCAACACCTTGTTTGAGTGCTGTCACCTGCCTTTGCATGTTACTGTATGAAAAGGTGATTTGTTTGAACACAGCCAGACATACCAGTCTTGCTCTATACAACTTTTCTCTCCTTTGTGTGCCATATATGTAGTGACTGTTACCACTGTATCTCTTCTAATCATCTCTCCTATTTGTGTGGTGGCAGTGCCCATCGTTTAAAAATGCCAGTCTAAGTAACTCCACCTTTGCAAAATCAGTGTGACAAGAGTTTACTCACCTAGTTCTTTTTGCTCTCATTGCAGTAAAAATAGGAGGAAAAGCTATTCTTTTACTTCTCAAACTGTAAATGTATACAAACGGAGGATTTGGAGAACAGAGTAACTGAAGAGTTTTGTCAGAATCTCTAGAACTTGTACACCAGAGGCATTTCTTCTGCATTTGAATCAAAAGGATTCAGTATGTGCAGGCATTCGGCAAACGGACCTGCAATTAATGCTGTGTTAGGGACCTAAGGCATGGATTAATCCCACTTTGATTTCAGTCTTTCTAGAGAAAGAGGAGGAGGCAGGGAAGGAAAAGAGACCTGGTTTGAACCAGGAGAAAGAAAAAAGCAGGGAATTCTCTGCCCTGATGCATTTCCCACTGCCTTAGTATTTCTTCCTTCAGGGCACTGATTATTCCAGGTTTTCTTGGTTTTCACTTCCTTGAGATCTGTATCGCCCTATTATAAAATAAAGCACTTGACTGCTCCACCCCATTTGGGTCACCGTTGGCCACTTCGATCACCACAGCTCCATTTCCCTTTTTATGTCTGGAGGAACCACACCTGCCTATGCGTGCTGCTGCAGCTGTAACTCCGGGGAGTGGCTGTGAGCGGTGCCCACAATTCTCATGCTTTTGTGTTTAAGTTACTGAGACAAATAATTTCTACCTTCCATTGCTTACTATTTAGTTTGCAATTGCTCATTGTATTTAGGTTTTTAGAAAAGACAGAAGCCTAATTTGCCAGTAACAAACACTTTTGAAGAGCAGAGAGCTGGGAAGCAAAACAGATGTTGGAACTAAACACTTGAAACAATCTTCACTGGGAGGATTTTGTTAATTCCTCTCAGGCTTTTGGACTTTACAGCTCTACCAAAATCATGTTTTGTTAAAACTCTTGTAACTATATGTCCATTACTTGGTTTACAGAACACGCTCCTTGATTGGGAGGGTAGCACACAAGGAACAGCAGCAAAGTAACAACTCTTGGTAAGGCATGTCAGTCAGAACACAGCTTTTTTCCAGCTAATACTGGCTCATACGGAAGTTGCCTGGAATGAATGAAGTCTGGTTAATGTAGGTGCGACTTAGGATGTGCTTAAGAAAAGCCTTTCTTTCAGTAACTCCATTAAGCTGTATGAACACAGATCTAGAATCCTGGCATGTTCTCCTCACCTGTAACTTGTAGCATGCAGGCTTCATTTAGATACTATTTTGCTGGAGATTTATGCTACTCAAAATATGATTATCCTTCAGTATCTTTCAATACCTTGTGCTTCAGCCCCACTGCCACAAATCTGTCTGCTTTAATTAAAATCTATCCTGCTTCAAGACAGACAATCACAAATAGCAA